GCTAGTATCTGCTTCTTGATCCCTTCTTGATCCGGTACACAAATTCTTCTTTGGTATAGGAGAATTCTGTCCTTTGAAAGGCTGAAATTCGACCTTGCATTCTCTACTATCTCCTTCCTGTATCCATCCATAACTGGATCACCTTTCTGAGCTTCTCGTATCTCGTCCTATAGCACAGGCTGCAGCCTTAGAGAAGCTAACTTACTAGAGATTAATTCGAGGTCTAGGAGATTAATCTCTTGTTGAAGCTGCTTAGGTAACAATTCGGTCTCGACTGGAGTCCGCAGTGCTGGATTTCTGCTCAAAGCGTCTGCTACACGATTGGCTTTACCTGGATGGTAAAGGATTTCACATTCGTAGTCCTTCACAAGTTCAAGCCATCGTGTTTGTCTCATATTAAGCTCCTTCTGCGTGAAGAAGTACTTTAGGCTCTGATGGTCCGTATAAATTTGGCATCGAACCCCATACAGGTAATGCCGCCATAACTTGAGCGCAAAAACTACTGTGGCTAACTCAAGATCATGCGTTGGGTAATTACGCTCGTGATCCTTCAGTTGCCGAGATGTGTAAGCAATGACTTTGCCATTTTGCATCAACACGGCTCCTAGTCCTGTCTTTGAGGCATCACTGTAGATGTCAAATTTTTCTCCCTCTTCTGGGATCGTGAGTACTGGAGCACTAATTAATCTTCTTTTGATCTATCTGAAACTCTGTTCACATCTATCTGTCCATTCATACCTTCTATCTTTTCTGGTTAAGGCAGTGAAAGGAGCCGCAAGACGAGCAAATCCCTCCACAAACCTTCTGTAATACCCTGCCAATCCTAGGAAACTTTGAATTTCCGTAACACTCTTTGGAATTGGCCACTTCTCAACCGCTTCAACCTTTACTGGATCCACGGTGATTCCTTCCTTGGATACTACATGTTCGAGGAAGTGGACTTTATCTAACCAGAACTCGCACTTAGAACTTCGCATATAGCTGATGTTTCTTCAACGTGTGTAGTGTGATCCTCAAATGTTCTGCGTGCTCCTGTGGATCTCGTGAGTGTATAAGGATGTCATCGATGAAAACAATAACAAACTTATCTAAATACTCTCTGAAGACTCTGTTCATAAGGTCCGTAAATGCCGCTGGGGCATTTGTAAGTCCAAACGGCATCACTAAGAATTCGTAGTGTCCATACCGAGTTCTGAATGCCGTTCTGGAAATGTCTTCTTCTCTAATCTTGAGCTGATGATACCCCGATCGAAGGTCTATCTTCGAAAACGTGGTAGCTCCCTTCAACTAGTCGAACAAGTCATCGATTCGTGGCAATGGTTACTTGTTCTTGATGGTGACTTTGTTGAGCTCTCTATAATCTATGCACATCCGAAGCGTGCCATCCTTCTTTTTGACAAAGAGGATCGGAGCTCCCCATGGCGAGAAGCTCGGTCTGATGAAGCCTTTGTCTAACATCTCTTGGAGTTGAACCCGCAACTCTTTTAGTTCCGCTGGAGCCATCCTGTACGGTGCTTTGGATATTGGGGCGGTGCCAGGGAAAAGCTCTATCTCAAAAGCTATTTCCCGATCTGGAGGAAGTCCAGGTAGTTCCTCTGGAAAAACGTCTAGGAACTCCTTGACTATGGGAACGTCTTCTGGTTGATGTTTCCCCTCTTGGTTCCTGTCCACCACATACGCCAAATATCTAGTGCATCTGCTAGTCATCAATCGTCGGGCTTCTAGGGAACTAATAAAACGTCTAGGTGTCCTTGATGTGGAACCCATGTACTCAAACATCTGTTCTCCTTCTGACTGAAAAACTACCTTTTTCTTTCTACAGTCTATTGTAGCATTTTACTTTCCTAGAAAATCCATTCCTAGGATCACATCATAATCTACTAAGTTCAGTACAACTAGGTCCGCACTTAGTTCTCTTCCTGCTATCTCTACTGGTACGTGACGTAACCAATGACTAGACAACAACACATCACCTGATGGTAGTGCTATCTTAAAGGCTTGCCGTATCCTCTCTTGAGGATGTAGTATTCGTTTAACAAATTCTACTGATGCAAATGTATGTGTGGCCCCTGAATCAAATAATGCTCGTGCAGGGACATGGGCAACAGTAAGCTGACCTGTCACTACGTTGGACGTGCCTGCCTCCGCTTCCTCCTTAGTGTATGTCATTAAGTGAGCATTGGCCTGTGGAGAAGCTTCTACTCTATTCAGCTGAGGGGTCGAGAATACCCTCTGTGCTTGCATCGCGTGGAATTGTGGAACTGGTGGCCTTTGTGGAGCCATTCTAGGAGATCCTGCTTTAAACGGACACTGCCTTGCATAATGTCCTTTCTGTCCACACGTATAGCATACAGCCGTGCCGGCGTTACATTCTCCGGAGTGTTTCTTTCCACAGGTCAGGCAGATAGGAACACTAGGACTGGTATACTGGTCCTGCTTCTGTTGGGGGTTTCGCTGATTCTGATTGCGATTCCCTTTCCTCTTGCTGGGGTTTTGCTGGTTCCCCTGTCTAGGTTTCGATCCCTAGTCGCTACGGCTTCCTTGGCTTTGCGAATTAGCACCTGAGCTCTGCTTAGTGGGTGCCTGTGCCTTTTCCCTCTGTTTCTTCTTGTCTTCCCACATCTTAGCCCGTTCCTCTCTAGATTTGGTAATGTTATGCTCCGCACGTATTGCCCGATTAACTAGATCGGCTACCGTGGTTGGTGGATACTACCCACTTTCCACAACGGTGGCTATATCTCCTCGGAGCATATTAACCATCCTCCTAACCTTCTCTTCCTCTGTTGGAACCAACTGAGGACATAGTCGTGCCAACTGATCAAATCGTCGGCATGCTTCTACAACTGTCTGGTCGCCCCGCTTAAAATTGTTGAACTCATTCTGCTGAGTCTTAAGGGCTTCTAAGTTGTAATACTTACGGTTAAATTCCCATAGGAATTCATCTCATAACATCTGTCTCACATTCCTTCTGGCGCACACTGATTCCCACCAATAGCGGGCATCCTTCTTTAATACGAAAGCGGCACACTGAATCTTCTCCCTGTATCAACTGGGTAAGCAATTCTCGTAACTGTCTGCTTTCCTCAGCCTGGGCTGCTATTTGCCCCCTTAGACCTGCTACTTCTTTAGCTAGGTCTGGTGCTGGAGGATTCTGTTCTGCTTATGTTCTCTTTGGACATGTATGAACCATGTTGCTGTGTCTATATTAACTAAAAGAGCAACATAGTTTGTTTAAGTGCAAAAAGAACTGCTTCTAAACTTTCTTGACTGGCTATACTTTAAACTATCATTTATTCTCATATCAACTAGCAAAACATACATTCTATATGTTCTCCCATTATGCATGCCCCATATCATGCATATGACATCATATACAAATCATCACAACAGTAAAAGTTTTTTAAGCCTTTCATTCAAATCTATTATGTATGTCCCATTTCATACATATCACATCATACATAAAACATCGTTAGTCTAAGTTTCTCAATACTATTTACATAACCTTGCGTCATATTCAAATAAATAAAACGCTAAGTCCTAACTTAATCCTCATCATCTAAGTGTTCCTCAGGATCCTCCCCTGGATCCTCCTCAGGGTCTTCTTCTGAATCCTCCTCGGGATCCGACTGAGGGTTACCACTAGCTTCCTCACCAACGGTCCTAACGTAGGTCCATCTTCGCCGAATGGCCATAGGCTCATCCGTTGCCTCTATCTTGGGTCTCGGTCGTTGTCGAGAAGTAGTGGCTTCCGCATCATGTCTCCTAATATGGGTATTGGAAAACAAGAAGTCTCGCCTAACCGCCGCTGGCCGTGTCCTCTTCTCTAGCAGCTGGCGCTCCCAATGCTACGCCTCGACGATAAATTGTGTGAGGGTCTGATCCGATCGCGGAACTAGTCGATGCTGGTACTCTTCCGTCAGACTTCTCCATAGGATCTGACACTGCTCCTCCTCACTTAGATTAAAAATTTGATTCGGAGCCAGTACCTCTGTCAAAACTCTCGCTATATAGGCTACAACGACCTTATCCGATCTCATACTAGCCCTCTCGGCTTGTATGATAAACTCTCAAGCTTGGGTGTAGGTCACGGCTACACTCACCTGGCTTTGTGTCTCTCCACTCTACTGTGGTGCCGACTCTGATGGCATGACTTGGGGAAGAAACTGATGCTTCAACATGTGGCAAAAGTCTTCCCATTGCATCTCCGCTATTTCGTCCTCATCCAAAGCTTGCCAAAAGATTAAGGCATTGCCCTCTAATAGACACTCTACGAGCATAACCCACTCCTCTCGAGCTATGTCACAGGCTCGCATCACGTACTCGACACGGTGCAGCCAATCCCTAATTCTCGTGGGATGTGAAACCCCATCAAAGGAAGGTGGATTATAGGTGTAGAACCTGACTGCGGCTTGACCTGTAGTCAAAGCGACTCTCCTTGCTCGGTGTGCAGCCTTGGCCGTCATAGGCTCTAGAGCCCTTAACTCCCGATCCACTAGTGGATGACTATATCTAGCAGGAGTGGCTACCGACCTCTCTGTTTGTCAGAACCGTGAGGTTAGAAACGTTCTTACCCGTCCCCACAACGTATTCTCTTGTGATGTAGGTGCTAACAGGGATGATGGATGTGATCGATCCATTGGTACCTGTTCTGTCTTGCCAAAAGAATAAGCAATTCTCAGTTTTAGTTCATAAACTAATTTACCTGGACTGTGCAGAAGCATAGGTGCGGGATTGTCATGGCAGGAGTAGGAACGCCGCTCTGATACCAACTGTGACGGCCTGCGCCCTCGCGGCGCGGTCGCCGTTCCTTATACTACTACTAATAGGCTAAGTTGTAGTCTAATCCATTATTTGTTGTTAGACTATTGTCTCTTTAATTTACGTTCATATGCGGGTAAATTTTTTTTTCTTTACTTTAACCCTCGGGTTCTTAACATGTTATGTTGTTACACTAATAACATATCTTGCTATTACTTTAAGGATTCGGATATCAAACTAGTTTCTGAAAACTTGTCTTAACTTATTACAGTCCGTTGTTCTTTACTAAGACAATGGTTGTAATGTCTTCTTCTTAGAACTGAACATACATACTAGTATTCTATATTACATTACTTTGCAGCGGAATTTAATTTCTAAGTGAGCGTAGTAAAGACCACTCCCGTGTACCCATGACATTTCTGCCACCCTTGCCTCCGCCTGTCCATCAAGCAAACCACTAT